GTGCAATTAAAAGCAAGCACATTTTTGGGTGACATTGTTTTAGTTTTGGTTACCCCTTGTAACCCCTTCTTGCCCAGTGTTAAAATGCAAGAAGGAAATGCAGTTGTGAATTATTTTCTTTTGTGGGCTTTTAAAGAAACCTTTCCTTCATTGCATCTGGTTTTCCTACCCATACAATATTCATAGGTCTGTTTCTAGGAGAGGGCTGTGGCTAGTGGGGCCATGAAAACTTCCTAGATTTGGCAGACTAGGCTGTGTCATGTTCACCCTCTAACCTGAGAAAAATCCCCATTGAAAAGATAGTGTGGCAGTTTTCCTGCATGCAGGTCAGACTCTTCACAGAGATATTTGACAGTGACTAAAGAAAAAGAGTCTCTATATCCTCCCAGCATCTGCAGTAAGAACGGAACTAATTAATTTGTGGTCTAAAGAACAAAAAATATTTCCAAGACAACAATTAGCATAAAATTATTTTCACCTATATTTTAATTTAACCGGCGATTATTGGTTGAGGAATTGTGGAGGTCTTAAAAGTTAGATCTTATTCTCTTATAGTAAGTGTTTGAAAATAAATATGGCAGCCTGATACTTATGGCTTACCAGTTCCTTATTCCTCCTCTGTTATCAGCACCCCAGATGTCTCACCACAGACCAGAATATCTGGTAGTACCTCACCTGCTGGGATCATTGCTATTTATATTTATTTAATCACAGAGTTAAAGGATCCTTAAGTTCATATTTAACTCTTTCAGTAGAATGTAGATGTTTTCTTCTTTTTAGCAGTGGTGTTAGGATATGAGAAAAAGAATGAACTATTTTACTGCTTTGGTTTAGCTATTGTATAAGGCCTTTTTTCTTTGTAATATCTAATTAACAAATTTGGGGATCATTTTATAAGTATCTTTTTAAAAAGGAAAAGAATCTTTTTCATATATATAGAGCTAACTCAGCAAATACCAAATTTGGATAAACATTAAAAAAATCAGAAAACCCCAACTGATAGAACAAATTAAATACACACACACACCACACCACCCTCCACATATATATAAAATAATTTTTTTTTATGTGTTTTTAGGTGGAAGCAGGGAAGCCTACAAGGTTTTTTCTCCCAAATAGTATGCAGCTCTCTAAATTATGTCATAGTGCACACAAACTATAGGCCGTTAAAATTCTTTTAGACCAGAGAGACATAAAAATAAATTCATTTTCTAACGTATAGTGTCCTTGAACATATAACAAGGACTAAGGACTAAGGTACAAATAAGGTACATTTTCTAGACTTATTTGTTGTCAAGAATTTTGCCTCATAGTTGGCTATTGTTTTCTTAAGCAGATTTAATATAAATACAAGTAAAAATAACTTTTAAGGAAATGAATTTCTAAAGGAATGTGAAAGCAATAATCTAAATATTTAGAGTCTAGGAGGTTCTGTTATTGAGATGTGTACTGTATTGGTACAGTTGACATAGTAATTATATAGCAAAAATATAAAAGATTGCTGATTATAAGTTTATGTGAATAGAATTAGAAGAACCTGATTTCTTAATCCAAGTTGAAGCATTTTAAGTTACTTATTTCCTTTGATCAGAGACATAAACTTTAAAACTGCTAAAGCATGGAGAAAAGATTCTTCATATAAAATGAAGGAGCATATAATTTCTTGGAGATTCTTGCTAATACTAATTTAAAGATGTTGTAACATTCTAGTGCCTGGGAAAGTGTCCCTATAAATTTTACCCTTGTTTCATTCCAACTCTTCTGCTTATCAGTGATTTAAGCAAATTCGTGGCAATGGTCACAGTTTCCTGAGATTAAGAAAACTCTACAACAAAACAGCCATACCAGCTCCAAAAAGCTTCCTGTTTTGGTATTGTACGCTGTTGACTGACTCTGTTTCTTTCCGAAAAATGGCTTTTGGATTCTTCTGGCAAAGAGTTGAACTTGTATTCTAAGTGCAGAGAAGAATTGATGCACTCTGGACAGATGTAAGAAAGAATTCTTTCTTAACAACCCTTAAAACTTTATTTTTAATATAGCGTTTGCAGAATCAAATGTTAATTTAATACTTAGAAAGTAAGTTATGTTAGTATAACTTGAACGCTCATGAAGATAATCAGATAAAATGACAGATATACTGTTTTATTTAGGGCATCCAATATTTAGTAGAGAAGGTAACTGACCAGTAAGGGAATTATAGGTGGAAAGATGGCTCCTTTTTTCTGAAATGAGGAATGTTGCCCTAAATGTTATTTCATTATCTCTACAGCTGGAGCTTCATTAGCAAGTGTATTGGAATAAACAGGGTATTGCAGCAGCAGAGAAACTAAGCACAGCAAGCCTTTCGGTAACAAAGAAAATAAAAGAATTCCTGTGTAACAGGCTTCCACTCTTATCTGTGTTCTGTGGTACTGTTTGTGCTGAACTAAAGCATCTGTTACCTCAAGTTAAGAGAGAACAAACTCAACATGGCGTGAAATTACTGCACAGCCATTCACATTCATTAGAGTTATATTGTTACCAGCCATAGGCATGACTGACTTTTGCACAAATAATAAAATAAAATGCTGCTTTGTGAATTTTTACCTTAAAATATTACAGGGCACAGTACTAACCTCGAGCCAAAGTAGGTTTATCTTAGAGCAGCTTTCCTCACCACAGTAGAGTAATGACTGTTAAGTTAGGAAGGAATATTGCTGTATGAGGCCTTTGGAAAGGGCATTGTGGTAAATCAATTTACTCATTTTTAAAACTAATATTTATTGTGCAGGTATTAAAATTATTAAAGTACCATTTGGTAGTCATCATACTAATAGTTGATTTAGGCAAAAAATCATAAATGGATGCCAAAGATAGTGGGTCAAAGTTTGATGAGGAAAAGAATATTCACGTAGTTGCAAAGGGATAAAATAGAAACTTTGCAGGGGAAAAAAAAAAATGACAAACCTCATCCAATTGATCAAAGTGAGCACCGGTAATGAGGAAAATTGACATAATGTGCCTCCTAAACTGATGCACTGAGAAGATATCACTTCTGTGTTATTTTTGTTAAAAATGCACAACCTAATCTAATCATGAGAAAACACCAGAGAACCCTAAATTAAGGAATAGTCTACAAAATAACTGGCCCATACTCATCAAAAATACCACTGTCGTGAAAGACAAAGAAATGCCAAGTAACTGTCATAGATTAAAGAAGACTCATGAAACATTGACATCTAAATGCAACATGTGATCCGAAATTTTCCTTCTTTGCTATTTCATTGACATTTCTCTCTTACAGTTTCCAGTACAGAAGTCGTGTATTGAAACAACAAAAACATATATATCTTCTGAATTAAATATTATAATTCGGTTTCCTTCCTATTTTATTTTTCTAGTTTATATGGATTTTAAACAGTGGTGTGGATTTTGGTTGGTATTTTTTAAACAACAGTTAAGAATATTAGGTCTTTTGGCCTAGTCGAATTACATTTCAAGCTATTGAAGAGTTAAAAATAATACTTAATTGTTTTACCAAATATTCAATCAGTGGAAGAAAGAAGAGTTCTCATGCTGTTTAAAAGTACTAGAATGCATCATTTAAAAGTTTCACAAGTATTTAGGGAAGGAAATAGTGATCATTAAGATGAATTTATAAAGAAGTCATGGTATTCATAAAGAAACTTGATATGGTTTTTAGACCTGTAGGTAACAAATGCTTTACTTTTAGGAAGGCAAATTGATGAATGTCTTATATCCTCGAGCACAAGATGGAGAAATTGAGTAATTGTAGTTAATTAAATAAGTAACTAATTCAATAACCATACCAAAGATTAATGATTGGATGCCAGTCGTCGATGGTTTCTAGTGTTGTTATCTGTTGCAGAGATCTATTCTTGATTCTGTTCTAAACTTTAGTAACTTGGATAAAGGCATTTATGACATACCTAACAGATTTTTTAAATGACACAAATCTGAAAGAGATAGCCAAAACATTGGATGACTGAAACAAGAACTGAAAGATCATGGTAACTGGGAAAGATAGGTGGGAATCTAGCAAAATAAATCTGACAGGAATAAATTATACAGAGACAACCATTCATAGATGATGTGTGGAAGGAAAGAAAACTTTATGTTAATTTATGGAAAATGAGTTTGTCAAATGGCCAATTGGCCATATTTACCAGATTTATCTATTTTGTTTTTTTCTAACTGTTTGATTTAATATGTATCAATTTGGTCCAGTCATAAAAATGGAAACCACACTAATATTTCAAACATAGGAGAAGCACAAGGAATTGATTATACAGGTTAGAAGGCCAAAAGAGTTTTTAAAAGGGAGACACTGAACTATTAAAGAGATAGTTAATTACAAGAGACAGCTGTCACACCAAGAGCTGAGAAACAGAAGGGACGAAATTATAACCTAGAAGTTATACCTATAAGCTGACACGCAGTCTTCTGAGGAGGAGACACTGTTCAACTACTGATAGACTGAAATCTTTATTACTAAAAGCTATTGATTTGTATAAGAAACTAATATATTTAATTTGTGTTCTCTATGTTGAACTAAATGTGATAACATCTGAGTGGATATCTCTACTATCTTGAATATGGTTCTGAAAATAAAGCATAAAACTAATTTGACCTCAATCATCTTAAAGTTCTATACTCCCCACTCCTACATGCGCCATTTTTAAAATGACTTTGCCATTAATAGTCCTCCTACCTCAGATGTATTGCTGAGTAACTTCTCAGAAAGAGTAGTTTTCATAGAAAAATAGAGATTTAAAAAAAAAAAAAAAGCATGGCAAATATGTGGGCTAAACATTCCTTTTGACTATAGGTGTGTACTTTTTAAATCTTTCTCACTGACGCCTTAAGCATTCATTATTAAGTGGATTTATTACTGAGTTTTTAAGATAAAGTTTTGTTATGCTCTGAAACATTAAAGAACAAGTTTTGGAATTGATTTCTCTGTTTGTTTTTTTCTCTCCCCCTAAATATTGCTTCTTTAGGTCAGTAACAGATCCAAGAGATGGAAAGAGAGTAGCACTCAAAAAGATGCCCAACGTCTTCCAGAATCTGGTCTCTTGCAAAAGGGTCTTCCGGGAATTGAAGATGTTGTGTTTCTTTAAACATGATAATGTAAGTGAAATTGGCATTTGGGATAAACTGTTTCCTAAGCATGCTTAATTGTATCAGTAAAGAGCAAAAAAAGTTAAAAAGGGGACACACAAGTTATTAATGGGTTTGGAAATCTGCATTTTTGCACATAGTGAGCAAGTTTAAGTGAATTTTAAGATTTATTGATTGACAGATAAATATTAATTGATATAAGGCAAATGTTAATATTTAGCTGAGGAACAATACTAATATTCAACATAAAAATAGAGAGTGTAATATGTAGTCTAGGTGATTTAAGTGAAAATAATGGGCCCTTGATTTTAAATGTTTTATTTTTATCTTTTAATGTTTCTAATCAGAGATTAAGTTAAAGATGTGGAAAAATAGATTCTCCTCTTAAAAAACAGTATAGCTCTTAAAGTAACATAGGTTAGCTTTTTTATGGCTATGTTTAGAGTTATCAAGACTCATGGGCGAATAGAATCATTGTGGTTTGAGAGATAGCTTCACCTCAACTAATCCTGAATTTAAAGTTTGGTATGTGTAAAATTTATGTGGGGAATGTTAGCATTGGACTCAGTTTTCAGTTTCATGTGAAAAGAAAAACTGCCTCACATTCTGCATTTGGTACTCAATTTATGGTATTTTAATTGCTGGAGTAAAAACTTTATCAAAAAAATGTTAATTTCTTGTGAGTCTCATTGCTTGTTTGCACAGTAACCTTTAGAACTTTGGCCAAAGTGTGTTTCTCTCAGAGAGAAATTCGTATAAGTTTGAAGTATTTGGTAAAACTAGGAATATTAAACTTATGTTTACTTAAAGCTCCTTGGTTTGACATAGTTCATTTTAATGATTACTCCTCTTGCAATCCATTTTCCTTAAACTTGGAAAAAAAGTTATCTCTGTCTTTCAGTTGATTGGAACTGCCTAACAATGTTTGTTTCAATAACTTTGAAAATACCATTCAAGTTTATGACTGGTTCCTCAAATTTTGAAAGTGATTTCAAATGATATCTAGTGCTTGCTTAGTTATTTTTTTCTCGAATTTGCCTGAGTACACCCTAGCATCAAATAGTACAAACCCAATGTACATTGTCAGAGACTCAAATAAAGGTATCCGTGGTGAAGAAATATTTTGAAGATAGCATAGGAAATTTGCTTACTAAGAGTTTCAAATGGTTTATTATATTCAGACCTATCTTGGCTTCTTTTATAAAAGAATGATGATATATTAGGCTATTATCTGTATACATTGGTATCTTTTCTCATGACTCATTCCTATAGAGCAGGGGTCCCCCCCGCCGCCACCACCCCACCCCCTAGCCCAGGCCGTGGACTTGTACCAGTCCATGACCTTTTAGGAACTGGGCTGCACAACAGGAGTTGAGCAGCAAGCGAGCAAGCGAGAAGCTTCATCTGTATTTGCAGCCATTCCCCAGACTAGCATCACCACCTCAGCTCCACCTCAGATCCTCAGGCATTAGATTTCATAGGAACACTCGTCCCTGGTGCCAAAAAGTTTGGGGGCCGCTGCTATAGCGTAATTAATTAAGTCACAAAGCTAGTATCAGAGTAAGTAGTGCAAGAGAAGAAACACACTGAATTCTTGAAAATCACAGCTTTTGAAACACAACACCGGACTAGCATCACCGCCTCAGCTCCACCTCAGATCCTCAGGCATTAGATTTCATAGGAACACTGGTCCCTGGTGCCAAAAAGTTTGGGGGCCGCTGCTATAGCGTAATTAATTAAGTCACAAAGCTAGTATCAGAGTAAGTAGTGCAAGAGAAGAAACACACTGAATTCTTGAAAATCACAGCTTTTGAAACACAACAACTGTTTGGAGCTCCTAAGCTCTATCATAAGAGAATGCTTGTGACTTCTTTGGTTTAAAAGTGAGGCAGTTAGTTGAAGATGACATGGCACCACCACTGTATACACAATGAATTTATGCTGTGCTCTGAGATCTATCTTCAAAAGCATCTCAGGGCCAGCACATGTGGTATGTGTGGAATGCCAATCTAAGAGGCAACCGATATTTGACGTAGTTAAGGCAACAAATGTTTGTTAATTATGTACCGTGTACAGAGTACAGGGCTAGGTCATGTAGAGGGTACAAAAAAAGTTTAAAACATGTTCGTTTCTTGAGGGAAGTAGACTAGATATTTAACATGTTACTGTGTGTCAGGAAGTGTGCTAGATGCTTTTATATACATTAATTCATTTAATCATTAAAATCTTGTCAGATAGGGCTTGTTATTTTTACTTTACAGAAGAGTAAACCAAAGCTTAGAGTTAAGTAACTTGCCCAGGGTCAAAGTGGCACAAGATTGGAGTCTAAATCTGTCTTGCTTCAGAGTCCATATTCATTAACTCTATAAACTTTTATTGTACACATCCTATATCCCTAAACTACATTAGCTTCTAGGGGTTTCTACCTCCAAAGAGTTTAGTAATGTGATAAATACTATGATAACAGTGCTGTGGGAAGAGTGCCTGCATGGTTAAACATTAATCCAGGACAGTTTGTGTTCTCTGTGTAGCAAAAAGCTGGGAAACCAAACCTAGAAGTGTATTAGAATCACCAGGTAAACCTTAAAAAGTGTAGATTCATGGGTCTCATCCCAGACATACTAAATTGGATAAACCTAAACATTCCGGACATACTGGAATCTCTGGGGTTGAGACCCAGGTAGCTATATTTTTTTAAGTTTCTCAGATGAATGTTGCCAGAAAACTACCATAAAATTAAGGAAAAGAGAGAAATTGTTATGGACTTAGAAGCTCAAAGAATATTTTAAAATGGAGAAGGTAAACCTTAAAATGATTCTTTTGAGATTCAGATTTGATTGAATAGAAGAAAGGAATGTCACGATACAAATGACATTTAGAAAGATTAACCTGGCTGATGTAGGAAGGTCAGATTTCGATTCGGATGATTTTTTATATGTCAGAGAATAGTTTCAGAGCCCTGGGAGGCTTCGGGTTTTCTTTTGAACATAACCTACCAAGTCACTGTATCAGATTCATTGATTTCAGGTGATCTGACTGATTGAGATACACACATTTTTTCCCCCCTAAAGAACAGGTTGTTTATCATCTTAAAAGATAGATTCACCTTGATGTAACTTCAGGGAAATAGAAATGGGTTTAACTTTCCAAAGATGGATGTCGTTTAGGCTTATCACTAGTGTCTAGCCGGAATCTGAGCTATTATAAAATCTGGAAAAATATTCTTTACCTACCTTTGTGCATGTGTGTACCCACACATAATTGTCATATTATCAACATGGATAAGGAAAGATTCAGTGTTTTCAATCTTATACTCCTTTGAGAATCTAATGAAAGCTATGAACCTTCTTGGAAAAAATGCGCATACACAGAATTTTTATTTCACTTTAGGCTTTCACTAGTCCTCTAAAGCTCATTCCGAGCCCCCTTATGGCCCACTGATTCCTGCTAAGAGCCCCTCTGATACAAGTCTTGGGCTTTTTCTTGTCCTTGGGCAATAGCATTAAGCACACAGTAGGCAGTCTATTTGGAAAGTGAGTAAATGAATGAAAGTGATAGAAAAAGAGAAATCTCAGTGAACTTTTTCCTGAAGTTGCTTTTTCCCAGTCTTTTAATGCTGGACTGCTCTAGAGAGGAGTAGAGGCAGCAGTGAGGAGTTAGTGGAGCCAAAGAAGGATCATTCATTTTCCTTTGTATAGTCTGACCTAACTGAAAGCCTCTTTGGGTTCATAAGTAGGATAAAGAATCATATCAGTATGGGACCAATAGGACCCTTCTCAATGCAAACATACTGTTTAGCTGTAAACATTATTATGCTGATGCTTCTGCTGCTAAGGAATGTGAAAAGGCAAAGGATTTTGTAGATTAGGTTACTTTTGAGTAAATTTGGTTTTGTGTACTCTGTGCCTAAAATTTATGGTATTGGGCAGATTCTTGATACATTTAAAATAATACAGCCTTTCACGTTCATGGATTAGAAAGCTCATTGTTATTAATAGGCATGTTCTCTCAGGTTGAACTGGATATTCAATGTAATCCCAGCCAAAATCCCAGCAGGGTTTTGTTTATGTGTGTGTATAGAAATTGAGAAACATTCTAAAGTTTATGGAAATGGAAAAGACCTAAAATACTCAAGACAATTTCAAAGAAGTTGAACAATGTTGAAGATTCACACTTCCAGGTATTGAGACATATGAAGCCACAGTAATCAAGGCAGCACCAGGATAGACAAATAGATTAATTGAGTAGAATAGGGAGTCTGTAAACTGACATACGCATATATGTTCACCTGATTTACAAAAGAGGTGCCATTACCGCAGTCCATTGGGGGAAATAGATGGCCACTTCAGTAATCAGAAATTATATGAAAAACAGGATATTCATATGAAAAACCTCTATTTCACAACATATCCATAAATTAATTCAGAATGGATCATAGACTTAATGTGAAAGGTAAGATAATAAAGCTTCTATAATAAGACATTGGAAAATACCTTCATGACTTTGAGATAAGCAAATATTTCTTAGCTGGACAAGGAAAGTATTGACCATTTTTTAAAAACAGATTGTTAAACTGGACACCATTAACATTAAGAATTAACGCTCATCAAAAGTTAAAAGAATGAAAAGACGATCAAAGACAGGTATCCAAAAAAAAATTTTCAACATATACAATATAATAGAACAATTTTAAAAATAAATATTTAGTGTTTTAGAAAGTTCATTAGAAATAAATATTTTACTTGACATTTTTCAGACTGTAAATTCTGTATCTAAACATATATGTTATAAAGAGCTTCTGACAAATAGAGAATTTTTGCTCATAAGAAAAAAAGACAAGAATTTCACAAAAAAATCTATAACCAAATGGCTAGTAAGCATATGACAAAGTGCTCAAAGTCTTTAGTCATCAGAGAAATTTAAATTAAAACTACAATAATATATTACTGTATATCCATCAAAATGGTTGAAATCAAAAAGACTGACAATACCCAGTGCTGGCAAGGATATGAATCAACTGAAATGCTATCATTGCTGGTGAGAGTGCAGATTTGTAAAAACACTTAGAAAAACTGGTGATTTCTTCTAAAACTAAATATACACCTACCCAATGACCCAGTAGTTCTACTCCTTGCCATACTCAGGACAAACAATTGCATATATCCACCAAAAGGCCTATACATGAATATTCATAGAAGCTTTATTCATAATACCTAGAAATTGGAAACACCCAGATGTTATCTGATATCCTGGATAAATACATTATGTCTTATTCCATTCATATAATGGTATACTACACATCAATAAAAAGGATGAACCACTTAAACTATATGTTCAATGTCATCCCAACCAGGAATTTCATAGGCATAACAGTAAGTGAAAGAAGCCATATAAAAAGACTGGACTCTTCATAATTTGATTTGTTAAAGTTGAAGGACAGGAAAAACAAATCTGTGATGATGGAAATGAGATTAGTGGTAACCTCTGAGCAGGGAGGGGTTTTGACTGGGAAGGGATGTTGAAATGCTCAATTTCTTGATCTAGATTTTAATCATGGAGTAAAAATTTAACATATATACTTTGTAAAAATTAATAGAATTATACACTTAGGATTTGTGTACTTTATGTTACAACTGTGTTAAAAAAATAATCATAAAAACATAATTTCTGCCTTAAAAGAACTTAAATTCTACTGGGGATGTGAGAGAATGGGAAGGGAGTAGCTCCTTTGCTAAATATGGGATTTAACTCAATTCTATAAACAGTTAAATTTCTAGTCTCTATATTAGGAATTGAGGTTATTCACAGCAGTTGTTTTATTGATAAAGGACTGACTAAAAAAAAAACTAAGTCATTTACTCATCATGTAACCAATTTATAATGAATCTTCTAACATCACAGAGGTTAAAATTCTAAAAAGCAGCTACCATAAAGAGCTTTTGTCTATTTCATAGAAGATTTGAGAAATGTGCTGAGACACTGTTTGGTAATGACCATTATTTAAGCTTTAGTTCATTTTTTTAATTAGCTGTGTGTGTGTGTGTGTGTGTGTGTGTGTGTGTGTGTGTCTGTATTTGAGATCCTTTGAAGAATTGGTGGTATTTTGGAGTACATTGATTTTTTTTACATACAAGTCAAAGTCTTTACAGGCATCCTCCTATATTTACATCACAAGGCTAATCTAACACACTTTATTCCCACAAATAATAGTAGAGTTATATATAGAAGGATTTGGGCTTTTTAAATAGGGAGTCAAACATGAAGTTTGGAGTTTGAAACTCTGATACTATTCCTTCTCAGTTATTCACTTCGGAGATTCCTGGATCATTTCTACTGGTCTTATTAGCACTTTTTCTGCCACCTCAAAACATTTTTGAATGCCATCCTTTGATAACATTTTTAGGTAGAAAGAACAGGAGTTAAAAACAACAGACGTTTAAAAAATTCCAGGCAGAGTTTAAAATATTGCTTCTTTGGAGCTAACAATCACAGCTAAATGCTTTAGTGCAAATGTCTAACCCTGTTTTATATGGCTTTTCTACAAAAAGCCTCATCAAATTTGGAGTAAGAAAGCTTCATTCTTCTCTATCAAGGTTTAAATATATGGTTGTCACTTTCCTCTAGATACCCTCTAATTATAGCAGATAGACTTGAAGTGTAAAATAGCTTTGTCTAATGGACGCTGTCACTCATTGCATTCTGTTTTCCTGCAAGACAGGATATATGTCGTTCAGATACAGAGTTTTGAGTCCGAAAGATGTCAAGTAAAACACTAATTTCTAACTACCTTCCTCAGGCATCAAATATTCATGCTAAAAATTGTTCTATCACATAGTGAGAAATGAATTTACATGAATTTGTGACACTGGCTAATTATAGGGTTTTTTAAAATATAGAAATGAAATAATTTATCTTTTATATGATAAAAATTATTCTTTGAAGAAACTAGAAAATCTGTTATTTCCCATTTGTACCAAGATTCTGAATATAAACACTTTAATTCAGAAAGGAAAGATATATGTCCTTTATAAAACATCCAAACTATTTTAAAACCTTTAACTGGTTTTAAAGTAAGTGAAGGCTTTTTCATTACAGGAAGTTTTAGTTTAATTTAAAATTTTAAAGTGACAAATGCTTAGCTGAAAAAAGAGTAACTTTTAAAATGAACAAGATTTCTTCCCCATGTAAATGCAAAGGGAAAAGAAAAGGGGATGGCGGAGAAATCTTTGGGTTAAAACTTAAAAGACATAAATCAGCCATACTGTGTAAGTCTTCTTTAGCTCCCAACTTTGACTAACAAACTTAAAAAAGGAAGAGAGGAGGGAGGAAAAGAGGAAAGAAGGAAGGAAACTGGAAATTGGAGCACTGGATATTCGATGGTATTAAAAAACATTAAATTTTTCATTTTACAATTATTTTAAAGTTTTTATTTTTTAGAGATACTTACTCATGTATGGCTGAAATAAATCTAGTATTTGCTTCAAAATTATATAGGGACCGTGAAGGGTATAGATGAAGCAAGAATGGCCATGTATAGATAACTACTAAGGCCAGATGTTGAGTACATGTGTATTCTTTATGTATTCTTTTATGTTCGAAATTCTCTATAATAAAATTTTTTTTTTCTTAATAGACTAAGCTAAAGATCAAAAAATTTGAACTTGTACCACTGCACAATTTATTTCTTGTTAAATAACTTCTTCTATATCCTTTGAGTCTGGTATTTCTTGTTAGCAAGATATGTTCAGATTCTTAGGTGTGACATCATAGATGAGACTTGAAGGAGTAGCTAGACAGCTGGTAGGGGAAATAGGCTTATTCATTCTGTTTCAATGGCAGAAGTGATATTGGTAGTATGTTACTTTTATAAAGAACTTGAATTTCAGATGCCTTAAAGTCTTTTTTTCCTCCACCCTAGGGACTTCTTTTTTTATACTTGGGATAAAATTCAAAATGCTTAACATAATTTAAAGAACTTTTGTGTGATATATCACCTGCCTTTCTCTTCTATTTTTTTCCCACCCACTAGGTTCCGTAAGCACTGGCATTTCTGTTTCTAGAATCTTCCTGGTTCTTTCTTGCCTCAGTGCCTACTCATTGCCTGACCAACTCCTCCTATTCAGCCTTCCACTCTTAGAGTAGTGTGACTTCAGGGAAGCGTTTTCTCCCCATTCCTCTTTACTTTTTCCCTTCATAATAATAAATATCATAATTATATATTTGTGTTACTATTTGTTTAATGTCTAATTTGTTTAACCCGAGAGCTTGCCACAGTGCTTTCCAGATAGAATGCATTTAGTAAACATTTTTTGAACAGAGGAATAAAAGAATGAATGGTAGATGTGGCTCTTCATACTCTGAGAGCAGCACCAATTGTTAAAAAAAAATAGGGCATTTTTTTCCAGCACTCTTCTATGCAGGGGTTCTGGTAGCGTGTGGTGTAATCCAGTTGCCTCTCTCATTTGGTTTAGGTAGAATTATTTTTTAGATAGTAAGTTTACAAACTCATCTTAAAGTGTACAACTGTTTCTTGACTGATAAATTTAGTTAACTTTAGTGGGCAGTCGTAACTAAACCTTAAATCATTAAAGTGTTAATAGTATTTACGTGCATATATGTCATGTTGTTTCTTTTTTAGTTCTCTAAATTTGACTTTTTTTTCCCCCTTTTCTCAGGTACTCTCTGCCCTTGACATACTCCAACCTCCACACATTGACTATTTTGAAGAAATGTATCCTAACCAGGGAATATGAAAGAAGGGGACAATTTTTTATTAATTCGTTTATTTAGCACATTTTGGGGGTCATGCTTTGAAGTGTATTAAATCTCATCCTTGCAGAAGTGGTTGAGTACCTGGAACCAGGTAATTTTACCAGGTATTATCAATATATCCTGACATCTGAGCAGATATTTTGCTTGATCCCTACACAGTCTTATGAGATAGGTTATTACCATCTTCATTTTGCAGATAAAACCAGTGAGGCAGCTATGTTGTAGTGGATCTCAGTAAAGTGCTCATGTCACTATATAACAACTGCCTGTCAGTCAAGAGGATACTTCTACCCTTTTTTCTACCACTTGGGGTAAGGTGAAAATTAAAGAGATAATGTAAGTTAAATGTCCCAAGTTCCATGAAATAATGGTGGTGGTGATGGTGTTAGTAATAGCCATGACTTACATAAGATGCAGGGTACAATTCTAAGTTCCGTACACATATGCATTAATTTAATCCCTGTAACATCCATCTGGGGAGGTATTGTGATTATTCTTATTTAACAGAAGGGGAAATTGAGGCACAAAAGATAAAAAACTTGACCAAGATGACAGAACTAGTAAGTGTTGGGATCTAGGTTCAATTCCAGGCAGTCTGACTCTATCGTCTTGATTTCAACTCCTACATATATGGTTGTCTCAGGATAAAGGCTTTAATGCCTGATAATAGCTCCTGGGACTGTGCATGAAAAATATTAGGACATAAGTTAGTCCATCTGACATTCTTGACAAAGCATCACCATTTACCATTCGACACTTGGTAAAGCTTTAAATGGAAGACGAGATCCTAAACATTGAGGTCAGTGAGCTCATGATAGTACAGTTTATCCACTCAAGACTTTTTATTAACACTAGGCCTGTGACTCAGAATGGACACCAGTATAATAGCAAGATACTTTTTCTGATTCAGCAGTGAGATAAACAAAAGTCTCATTCTTACAGAGGTGGTAGGTGATTTCATACTAGGCAATTAATTTCGATAATTTCCTTAGTAACTGGGAACAATTAAGAGAAGGGAAAGAGAATGACTAAGCTGACTAGGGAACTGGGAAATCTTATTAGACAGAATTGCGACTGATCAGCACTGCTGGGATGTTTTTATCTGATAAACCAAAAGCTCTTGAATACAGTAATCCTTGGTGATACTTTAATTCATGAATCCTTTATGAAATTAATTCCTTTGTAAAAGGTTAATTCATTGGAGTTAGGGTGCTCCAACCCTGCACATTCCAAAGAAAGGACTGGCCCTTCACTGACTCCTTGCTGAGAAGAGTTTCTTTGTATACCTGAGGTCTTAGGCTAGGCTGGATGGCCCTTTTTAAAAGAGTACCAAATTAACCTAAAGATAGAAGAATTTTTTCCTCAATTATAAGTCAGTAGTAGCAACTGAGGAGAAAGCATTAATGATTCCTTTTAATTGGTGGTAAGGGAATCCACATACTAGAAGGCATTCCTTTGAGTGTATAATACTATTTCTGCCTTTTTGGAAATAAAGTTGCTGACCAAACCTTGAAATTAGAAGAAATTCTCTTTATTGAATAACAATTTTACTGTATTACAGGCTATGTTGGGGATCCCCAAGATCACCCTCAAGTTCAGTGATTCTCTGAAAGGACTCGACCCAGGAAAGGCATTCCACCACAGTTGCAGTTTGTTACAGCAAAAGGATACAGATTAAAATCAGCAAAGGAAAAGGGTGTATAAAACAGTCCCTGAGAAACCAGACACAAAGTTCAGTTGTCCTCTCCCAGTGGAATTGCATACATAGTGCTTAATTCTCCCAGCAACAATTTATGACAACACAGGCAAGTGTTGTCAACCAAGGAAGCTCATCTGAGCCTTTGAGTCGGGGTTTTTGTTGGAGGTCAGTCAGGGAAGCCCAAGGGACTGACCTTAGCTACTCAGTCTCCAGCCATCCACCTTTCTCCCCACCAGAGGTTGAATTAATACAGCTGGACCAAGGCCCAGGTGAACAAAAATAGATGTGCACCTTCAATCACATTGTTAGCATAAACTGTGTGTTGTGGCCAAAGCACCAGGTACTAAGAGACTCTTAGGAAACAAAATATTGCAAAAGTGCAAATGTTATTTCCCAGGAGCTGGTCAGGGGCCAATCCTAAAGACTTGGAAATATGTAGGGTTTGGGTAACCCACATCTGCTGAATTAAGCCTTTATTGCACATAGGCCTTCTGTGGGCAAAGAATGTTTTCATATAAGATAATTGGTGAACGCGGGTTTATATAATAAATGCCAAATATATTTCAGTTCTCTTCATGAATACTTAACAAATTCATTTTATCCATTTTCTGTCTTATAATTCAAACATGAATTGTTTATGTGAGGTATTAGTTTTGTGTAATTGGGTTTGTCATTCTTTAAAAACCCTGCGTGTTTCTGTAAGCTAGAAGTTCTCAGTTGCTTCTTATTGACCATAATCTAATCGAGTCTGGGAAATCCTTGATTCATTATTATTTCAAATACTTGCACAACAGAGGAAAAGCTAGAATAGTTATGCTTTAAAACCAAGAGTGAATAGGTGATATAGTAGCTGTTGGTAGCTGATTTCAGCCCATTTCATAAACAGAATGTTTATATGAAATGACTCTCCCCAAAATTGTTCATGAATGTTTAAATAAAAGACTTTGCCATAAAATATTTGTGGAACCCTCTGGTGTACCATTTACTTAAAAGTTTCACTTTCTTATTTAATTTTTTACCTTCAGGTTAAAAATTGATACTTGTTGCTTTCACAGTAATTAGCTGGATACAGATGGGAAAATCATTCAAACTAAACCTCAGCGTTCTTGTTTTCTGTTGTATAATTTTTAGCTATATGTAGAATGATGCACAGGGGGGAAAAAAAGTGTTTTCCAGTGGTGATGCCATTTGGAAAACAATGAATCCTTTTAACATAAAAAGGAATTAAACCTATAGCTGCCATAGGATTATAAAGACTTTTTAGGAAGGCATGATTTAGCTTAGAGTACAAGATACTAAAAATTTGTGTTTTTAAAAGGAAACGTAAGAAATGCTTTAGTTATATATGAACTCTGCCTTTGCTGATTCTATCCCAGACAGGAAGTTTTCTGGGTCCTGTGCTTTTTAATACAAATATGTTTATTGTAGCCAAAGCAAAAAATAATTTTTTCTTTTATTTCTCTCTGTAAAATAAGACAACTTAATACCTAAAGCACAAAAACATTGACAATTTAATAGAATCTCAAGTTACTATTTGATTTCAACTTTATGTATTATCCATCTGTCAGCAGCTTCCTCTGTAGTATCTCAGAAATATGGCATAGGTATTACAAGTGTTTTTAGATGATGGGTTTTTTCGGAGGATTGTCGTGTCTTTGCAGATTTCGGAATGGGTAATATTTTGAGTTTTAAATATATGATCATAGACTTGTGCTTTGAAGAAACTTTTTGAGGTCTATTTGGAGCTCTCGTTTTAGGTAAATTCTAAATATATTGCTGTGCATCTAATGCATGTTTTAATAATTAGTTGATAAATAATTCAGTTCATAGAGTCAAAAATTTATATGTCATATTTCAGTTGTAAAGGGAAATAAATAATCTTCCATTATACATACAGTACCACATTATCACACTTTTTTCTAAGACCAGAAAATTGGGATATTATATTGCATGTGTAACTTTTAGTAGGTAAACATTCTCCCCCACCCCACTCCAGGTAAACATTTTAAACCAGATGTCTTTTAAACTAATTGAATATTTAATTTTAGAAATGCCTAGATCTGTGAACATTTTGATGTAATCAAGTATACAATAAACATATCAGCATGTAGTATCATGCAGTTAATCATATGTCTTTCTCTGAAACTGTAATAAAATAATCATATTAGTGCCCTCCAAAAATTTAGCTAGGGTTTTGAAAGACCAAGCCTCTTTACATAATTCTTTAAGTAACTTTTAAAAAGACAAAAGTCTAGATTTAACTGTTTGCAAATCTACCTACAAGGTGCAACAGATTTAGCAGGTATGGTAGGAGCAATAAACTACCACAACCTCTATCATCTAGCTTTTGTGTCTTCATATTTTTTAAATCAAGTATGTCAACCTAGAAAATATGTTCTTTAATAGAAATTAAAGATTATGTATTTTTCTGAGCTGAACTTTTAGCTTGTTAAAAGATTGTATTATTCATTTTATACTTTGAGTTTCTTCTATTTGGACATCTGTATGAAAACAATTTGGCACTTAATTACTTTGAGCCTACTGAAATTTAATCCAAAAGAAATCAGCTCTAATTGTTTGATTGGAAAACATTATCATACTTCAGTCTGGCAGGCTACCTAGAACATTACAGAATGGCTAGCCACATTGGAAGAGAAGCAGTTGAAATCAGAAGAGGACTCGATGTACTCTGAGAAAGGGGAGAGGTGAGATCCAAAGACAAAATGTTGAGATGAAAGCAAAGAGCAG